TTTAAGAAATTAGACAATATTATTAAAATAGGATAATAAAATGGTAAAATAGAATAAAATGAAATAAACTCTGGAGCTACTGTATAATTGCTCATTAGTTGAAATCAGTAACTAATGAGCAATTATATATGTCAATCCTGTATGAACCAACTCAGATTCTGAGGAGCAAAGGGACAGGCTCCTGCTGGTGCCCAGAGTCAGGACTAAACATGGGGAGTAAACATCGGAAGGCAGCAGTTTCCTTGTGTATGAACTGGGCTTTACAAATGCAACAATGCTGTACAACTTTCCTGCTCCAGCTCCTGGATTAGCCTACGTTAGTCTGCATGGATGTGCGCTGTCCACACAAAGGAGTCTTACCTCCTGTTGAATGCAGATTGAATGTGTTGTCGTCCATGCTATCTCTACAGTTTCATAGCTTTCTTTATGACATACATGTTTTGTAGCTGTGATCCAACATCAAAGATCTGAGAATTGCTCTTTGAGTCATACCTCATGAAATACTTGTGAAAAGGAAATCATGTTAAAGTTTGATAATAATTCTCGTAGTCTGTTGCCAGCTGATGTAAAAAATAAATTTAAATGGCTTTTTTAAATGGAGAAGGGATCATAGGGGTTAAGAAGTGCAGAGATAACATTTTAGTTTCATAAATCATAAATGTAATTACAATAATAATCCACTTAATAGTGGGATATCAACGCTACTTCCCTTCTCTCTCATAAAGAATAAGCTCTTAGGACTCCAAGACCACCAAGTCTCAATGGCAATTTAACGAGAATGTCTGAAAGGTGACTGCTCAGGGATCAGATTTGCAACCAAACAATGTGACATTTGGATTGAAGTTCAGTGAGTGACAGCTTGTGTTGTCAAGGTAACAGACAGTAAACAATATGAGATGAGCTGTTTTTGCTGCTGACCTCTGAAACAGCAGCCCTGACAGACACTGCCTCCGGACATAGTCTCCCTCCCTCATGTTTACGCCATCAAATAACTCTCCCACTTTTGAAAGCTGGCACTAAGATAAATCTCTTCTATGTGGAAATATCTCTGCCGCAAATAGGAAAACAAAAACAGTGCATGTGAATTATTGCACTTTTGTTGCTGCAACGCTGAATATTTAGAACCCATTCAGGAAATCACACTAGTCATGTGCGTAGATTCTGGGACGACGGGGCCACAAGATGTCCTCCTGCTGGCTGTTCTCACCAATCATCAATCTCGCAAATCTTTTTTTTATCAAGTTTTGTGCTTTTGGTTCACAAATCCTATACAGAGATGACAGAATAGAGAACAGGATAGAATACATCCAGGTGCAAAAATATTCTCATTCGGTTTGTATTAAACATCTCATGTCAACACTATGCTGTCAATCCCAAAGTACACCTTGTCTTTCACATCATTCTGTTTTTTGTACCTGCTGTCTCCTGCTGTGATAAGCAGTATACGCCCCATTGGTGTGGAAAAATGTAAGGTTGGTTAAAGTATATTTTATTGATGCCTGTATTAGTTTTTTTCTTCCGCAGTTGGTCGCTATAGTTCAGCTCCCTGAAGCCATATCCAGATATCGATGCTTGGTCAGGAGCTGGCAGATTTGACCTGGCGTACCATGTTTTTCAGTGGTAAGGGAACCCAGAGGAAACCTTTGCAAACATGGGGAGAACATGCAAACTCTACTCAGAAAGGCCCTGTTCAGATCGGGATTGAAACCTCTTACATTTTTTACTGAGAAACATTCTTAAAGCAGTGTGAAAAAGTGTTCAGCCATTAATATGGAACAATGATCCTTGAACATCTCAAATTTAGAATCACAGATAGAACTGAGTACAACACTCATCAACCGACTCAGGCAAACTGGCAAAAAGACTTGTTTTTCAAATGAGTATAATTTCAATGAATCTTTGAAAAGGAAGAAAAACAACCACAAAGAGACGAGGAGGTGGCCAAAAGGCAGGCCAAATGCTCCACAACTGCCATTTTAGAATATTGCTCAAGGGGGAGCTTTGTGCTTGCGACTGGACATTGGAGCATTTGTAGACGAACAAATAGTTTCTTTTCACCTCCAGGCTATAGCCCCGTGCATGTGAGGAGAGAGAAAGTCTGCACAGCGAGGGCCAAGGCGACAGCTTTCCAACAGTCTGCAAGGCCATGGAGCTTCACTAACTCAACAACCAACCTGCTCTCATGAAAACATAAATGATTCAGACATGCCTGAGTGGGCAACCTTTAATAAACTGCAGATCACATGAAGTGCTAACGGTACAGAGTACAAGCAGCAGCAACAAAGGAGAATATAATCGGATAGCTATCCTGCCTCTTGAAGCATCCATCATTGATTCATTCAGTAGGGTGGTGTTTCGTGACGGCCGTACAGAATTAAATCTACTGTTGTAATGTGTTATACCGTTTTGGGTTATCTAATTGTGCTGTGAATGAACTTGAATAAGAAGCTTTTTTTTTTTTTTAAAGAAGAAAAAAAAACGCTATTAAAAAACTGCTTTATAACTATTGGGACATTTGTTTCTGTCTGTGGAGATTGATTAAGGCCGTAAAGTATCTTGGGAAAAACATCTCCATGGATACAATTCACAATGGAGAAATGTCACATTTAGTATAAATAGGATCAGGTTGTGCAAAAAATAGGAAATGTACAAACATGTTAAAAAGTGAAAAAAATAGTCTCTTTCTCACACGATATACAGTATAATGTACAAATTAAATGAAAGCTGATGGTGATGTAATAGAAGAGGGTGGAGAGACGAGAAAATAATGCAGACATACGTGCTAAAAATAACATAATCTTCCATCAAACATGCGGGCAGTTGCTTCTCAGATAAATATTACAATTTCAGTTTTACATTTTTTATGTTATTTTTTTACCATTTAATTACAGCCAAAATAAAAGGAGAAAAAAAAGGAAAGTGAAAAATGTCTTTTTAGGTTCTAGCAAGTTTTAATATGTATATAACATTTATGTAAAAACAACAAAAAAGTAAAACATTTATATTTTACAAGATAATTCATTTCCCTAATTCATTCTGCTCATCCATTTTCTTCTTCTTGATCCGTTGCCGGGTCGTGGACACAGCAGCATGAGCGGAGACGGCCAGATTATCCGGGGAAATGTAATGTCACACATGATTGAAAATTCCAATGCAAAAATATAAAAATTCGAGCCAATTTGAAATTATTCTGAGACTAAGTGATATTTACTAGTAATTACTCAGCAGCTTCACAGGTTTCCCTATGGACTTTCTGATTACTTTTTAAAGTTGTTTTTGCCAATGTTTCTCAATGGACACTGCTGCCAACAAACATGGTGGATTTTCATGGCTGTTATTTTGAAATTCCCAAGCTCTCTCTGTGAGGCAAATGTGGACGCTTGAAAGCAGATGGAAGGCAGTGGTCCTCAGGCTGAGAGAAAAGCCAAACGCACATAGATATCAAAATTGGACCTTTTGATTTTCAGTCAATCAATAGTCTTTGGTGTAAAGTAAAACCCTATTGAACTTATCCCCTTGCCATCCTTGACCTCATGTTTTCTCTTATGTTATATACAGTTAAAACCGGACATTTACATTCACTGTGTAAAAAGACATGAAAAAGATTTGTTATTGTGTAATGAACCACAACTGGCTCCTCCTGACCTGGAGATGTGAAAGAACAAATTCATACATTTACATTTGCACATGGGATAGTTATCTAAACGAAAAAGAACCAAACTAAAACATATGTGATTTTTACTGCAGACAGTGTGGCAAAAATCCTTGTACGTGACAAGTACAAGGATGTAAACTGCTGCTCTGGACAAATCAGTCCCAACGGACAATCTGATCTCTACAAATATGAATACATTTACATTTCATATGGCTTACAGGGTGAGTCCTGGTTTTGCTTGGTTTCAGTCTGAACTATTTCTTTTGAAGCAATTAAATAACACCAGAGGGGAAACTGATATACAAAATGACATTTTGTAAGTTAAATGTTCACATCAATGTAGAAAATAAAGATGTAATATCAAATTTGAATATTTTTTTGTTTTAAGTGGTCAATAAATTAAACACCGCATGAATATTGAGCATTATTTAGCAGAATGTGAACAACGTTTTAAGTCCAGAATCAAGTACAAATATCCTTTTCTATTCAGTGGCCAAATTAAAGTGATAAAAAACATTGTCATTACAGCACTGTTTCCACCAGCCCTTGTCTACTCTAGTTGGTTGTGTTTTTCATTACGATTAAGTATCTAAGTAATAAGTATAAGTCATCTTTATTTATATAGCGCCTTGCACAGACAAGAGTCACAAAGTGCTTTACAATTGCTGTGGACATTGATCTCTCACTCCACACAGAGATGGGAGCAGTGTACAGTACGTATTGTACATATTTTTAGTTTTAGGGGAACAAGGGGAGAACATGCAAATTCTACCGAGAAAGGCCTAGAGGTGGAATCACACCCAGGACCTTCTTCCTGGAGGCACAAGGGCTAACCATTGCGCCACCGTATCTGAGCAACCTACCCACAACGATCCAGTATCCCAAGAAATTCCTTGGTAACCATGGCTTTCAGCCGAACTCTGCCCAATAACTGTCAGTTAGAACACTTTAGTACCTGGTTAGAACCAGGACCAAGCAGAAACTAAAATAATACCTGGTTAAACAGAGCCGGTGGAAACGCCCCCAATCGGAGTAGAGTAGAACTGAGTAGAGTCGGGCCAAGAAGGACTGGTGGAAACAAGTCTGCATCCGCCAACATAAGTGACACAAAGGCCCCGTCCCAAATCGCGCACTTGCGCACTTGGCGCACTTCAAAAGCGCGTTCCCGCGGGGTTGCTAAGTGCGTAGTGTGTCCCAATACTCCCGATGCGCACTTTCAACCGTCAACCTACGCACTTTATCCGCACTTCAGTTAAGGGAGCATCCGTGCGCACTCGGCTGAAGGCTAGGCTGATATATTACCCACATTTCTTGCGGTCGTGACGTCACTGCCACAACAGAGGACATGGCGACAGTCGGAACTTCAGAGTGCGGCACTTCAGGCCCAAAGAAGTGCACATTTAAGTGTGAGTACATACATTTTTTCTTCAGCATTGTATTACATGTGTGCTATAACAGCTTAGGTTTGTGCGGTGATTCGGGAATAGACGTTAAAATAAAGTACAATTAAACTTATCGTAATGTTACTTCCGTTCTTTTAACGTTTTAAATTTTTTTTCCCAGGGACAGACGAACTTACGTTCACATTCATCCGGATTAGGGCAGAAAAGGAAACCCTTTTTACTGGCTACAGGAATGCAGCAACGCAGGGCTACGAGTGAGTAACGTTAATCACTTCTGTAAACAGGACACCGGTGTGTACTGGTTAAAGTATTTAACACATTATTAATACTTTAATTACTCTTTGTTTCTTGAAGGGAGATCATCAACTTGATGGATTTGACAGGAAAGGTCACTGCTCAGCAATGCAAAAAAAAGTGGGAAAATCTTAAAAAAAAGTACAAGGTAATTAAATAGAGGAACCCATGTAATTGAGGAACCCATGTAATGTATACAGGTAACATGTATTTGTTCATATGTAATATGTTAGGACTTGTCACTGCCAAAGACTGGTTCAGGGACAGAGGAAGGAGAGGTGACGGCGGCCAATTGGCTTTTTTATGCTGCCATGCATGAAGCCATTGGCCAGAGGCCGTCAGTAAGGCCAGTTAGCCTGTACTCTTCAGGGCCAAAAAGTGCAGCGGCCACCCAGAGTGAGGATGCAGGAGGAGAGGAGAAGGAAGTGGAGGAGGAGGAGGAGGAATCAGTTTTTACAGCAGGAGAAGGGACCAGCTCAGCAGTAGGAAGGAAAAGATCAGGGAAAAGGAAGAGGAAAGAAAAAGAAAGTGCAGCAGAGAGTCTTCATCAGTGGTGTGAGAGCATTGAAAAGAGGCAGAAGGAAGAAGTTTGTAAGTAAGTAAGTAAGTTTTTATTTATATACCGCCTTTTCACTGCAGATCTGAGTCTCAAAGCGGTTTACAATTGTTAATTTTGGGCATTTGTCTCTCACTCCACACAGAGATGGGAGCGGGGCCAGTACAGGAGGCGCATGCTAGAACTATTGGACATATTTTTAGTGGTAGGGGAAACCGGAGTACCCGGAGGAAACCTACGCAGACACGGGGAGAACATGCAAACTCCACTCAGAAAGGCCCTGGTCCGGCCGGGATTTGAACCCAGGACCTTCTTGCTGAGAGGCGAGAGTGCTATCCACTCAGCCACCGTGCTCTGTCCTGCTCAAGAAGATGAGCAGGACAGAGCATGGATGCAGCAGGCCCAGGGGCAGATGGAGCAAATGTTGACTTTGTTTGGAAAATTAGTGGACCACCTGACTAAAACTTGACATGACTACTTTTTTATTCACAAAATTATTTGATCAGACTTAGTAATTGCACTTTAAACCAAATGTTTGTTTTTCATGTGTTCTGTATTTTCAAAATTAAACCTGTTTTTCTATATATTGTCCTTGTCTTGTTAATCATGTTGTCGCTTAACAGTTCTCTATTTCAATTTTGATTGTTTTGCTTCATTTACAATGATGGCTTGGTCCTGATGTGTCGTGTACTTTGTAGACTTTTTTAATCCATTGATTAACTCAAACATTGGGTTGTACAACAGTTTATTGCTCATTTTGTACACACTCTTAACATTTTGTACATTATACACAAATATCAAGAGCTGGCAGTTAATGGGAAGTCAGTATTCACTCACAGCGTAGTGTCAATTAGTAATCAGACTTCAAAAATAAAATTTACTGTAAGACATTTTTATGCAAACATAGACATTGGATCAAAGAGATTGGATAATAATCAAAAGAAAAAGATTGAAAAATACATTTTTGGTCAAATATAAGAACAGCCTCTGATAAGATGACTGTGACTCCAGTTACATAGACAAAAAAAGGTCCTCAGTGACAAAGTGGCAGATGAACTCTCACAGATAAACATTAAAACAACATGTCTTCATAAATAAACAAATTAATTACTTAAACATTGTAAAAAAATACTGAACTTTCATCAAAAAGGGCAAAATTCAAAATGGAGAATATTTCAACAAAGAAAATTGTATAAAAGCACTGTACAAATGTCCATAATTACACTAAATATAGTCATGCTCCATGAGATAACCCTGTGCAACAACAGGAGCAGACACTTGAGCAGAAAGTCGCTCCCTCAACCTGATTCCTCTTGCATCTGATTGTCCTGCATCTCCTGGGGGCATCGGTGGTGGTGGTGGCTGGTCATCATCCCGATCCGGTTCCAGGACATCTCCGTGAGTGAGACAAACATTGTGAAGAAAAGCACAGGCAGTCACGACCTGAGTGCAAAAGGCTATCTTCACCTCTAACGCCTTAAACATTGTGGTTCTCCAGCGGGTCTTCATCATGCCGAAGGCTCTTTCAACGATTGACCGGGCACGTGAATGACAATAGTTGAACCGTTCCTCAACCCGGTTGTGAAGAGGCATCTTGTAGGGGGTGATGATGGTAATGGGTTGTTGAATGCAAGGATAGCCACCATCACCCAAAATAAAATAACCTTGTGGAGGGTACTCTGCTCTGACGTAGACTGGGCTATTCTTCAATACGCGGGTGTCGTGTACCGAGCCAGGGAATCCAGCAAATATGTTCAAGAATCTGCCACTTGAATCACAAATTGCCTGCATCTGTATGGAGTAGAACTGTTTGTAGTTGAAATAGTCCGCTTTGTTGTCACCTGGAGGCTTAATTCTAATGTGACAGCCGTCTACTGCACCTACAGCCTTTTCAAATGCCCTGTGCCTGGCTAAACGGGCAAAACCCTACCAGTGTCCTCCAACGCTTCCTGTGGTGGGTAGCATATTACTCGATGTGCATTCTTTACAATCAATTCAGCAATCTTATGGACAACACGACAGACGGTCGACTTCGGGACAGAAAAGGCCATGGCAGCAACTCTAAAGGAAATCCCGTGTGCAAGCCAATACACAAATATGAGGATCTCCAATGGAAACCCCCAGCCATGATCTTTATCGGTCTTCAACAAATTCATCAGGCCATTCATTGAATTTCTGGTGAGGCGGTAGTGAGGTTGAAGCTCTTGCTCCACATCAAAGTAGACCTGCAGAACAGGCATGGTCTGGTTCAGCCTGGTGTAGGTCAGCATTCCTCCATTCTGATGAAAACGTGGATAAAATAGAACAAAATTATTGTCCTGATCAAGATCACAGTTACAGTCAATCGGCAGCAGCACTATTATGATCACAATCAAATTCAAAATTACTTTCAGAATAATATGAATGGAATCACTATCAAATAATAATCTGGTAAAGCAATGCTTTTTAGGGGAATATTGTTGACAGCTGCAGCAGTAGAAGTGTTTGTTTATTATTATTGATTATTATTGACCACTGAAAACTTGCATTAGAATGTGTTTTAAACGTATTTGATGCAGAGCCCAATAATACATAATTTTTCAGATTTTGTGTTATCTATTTCAACTTAATTGAGAGGAGTAAACTATGTTACTAGCCTGATTATCAGCCGGTTTCATTTCACTTGATGGAAACAGTCTGAAATCAATTCTAAACACAGTTCCTATTCTGAATAATAAGAAGTAGCGCTTTGAGAAACTGCTGAACAATTAACTCTGAGTGCATGATAGCTGTGTTGTAAATGCCATTGTTTTCTAACGTTTGCGTCGTTAGAAAACGTTGCACTTTAGCCTATTCCTGGCGCTAGCACATTAGCAGAAAACTAAAAATAACGTACCAATTCAGACTCCTGCGCAAAGGCAAGAGCCTGGCGGATGAGCCTCCTGCGTTGTCTGCGCCTTCTCCGTCTCAAAAAACAAATTTGCTGGAGTTTCTGCATATTTTGGAGCAGCAAATTCGCCAAAACAACCACCGGCTCCGCCATCTTGAATGACGCCAAACGACTGCGTCCTGAAGCACATTGATGACGTATACTCAACCGTCCCAATTCTGCAGTTCTTGCGCACTGTGCACTTGCACACTTGTACACTTATGTGCACTTTCAAAAAGTGCGCACTTCTCAAAGTGTGTAGTGCGCAAGTGCGCGATTTGGGACGGGGCCCAAGTCACACTTATCCCAGAGTCATTGCTCTCCGCAGAGGACTGTTGCATCAGCTCTGCCCTGAAGACTTGTTGTTTCCTTGGGCCTTGATAAAGAAGCGGGAAAAAGAACCCTCCATTGGAATTGATACCTATTGCACCCTTTATGTAACGATTACTACAATGAAAAAGTGCTGTGCAATGGGAACACTGTATTTTTTTCTTTTTTTTTTAAAGGCAAATACAATTACCCTATTTGTAGGCATAACAACAGCACTATCCTCAATATTGTCAACTGATGCCTACCTCATAAAATATGAATTTTTAGGTATCAAAGTCAAGTTTGACTGATTAGTATTGAATTAAGGTTGGTCGAGCTTTTTAATATCCTACATCACATTGAGGCACAATTTTGCAACGTTTTTAAGCAAGTTGACTCAAAATGTTAAAGGAGTGCATGCTCTGGTTTTCTAATATGATCTGGTGTCAAATTGATGACTTCATGATTAGGCCCTACAAAAATACTCACACTTAAACACCTTGATCCAAATTATCCATTAAGTTTCTTTATAGAGACATAGTTTCAACCGTCTAAAACAGAAAATAAATACATGATTCCTTTTTATTACACGGAATTTGGATCCTCAAAGATGGACATTGGTTCCAGTTTTATCGCCATGCACAAAATAATGCCAATTTATGATTTGATAGGTTGTAAAGCACAAACGATACCCGTATGTTTGAGATTCTCTGCCACAAATGTTTAGATGGAGAAGAGGACTGCAGAGCCAAACGGCCACAGACATATTCTTTGCTCTGTAAGAACAGCACTTTCAATTACGTTAAAGGAGCATTCAGAGGAGTCGCATTTCCTTTACAGAGTCCGACAGTTGTGACCAAAACTCACCCGTCTCTTCAGATATGCTAAACTCCTCTGTCTCTTTCAGAACAGAGACGGAACGTTCCTGACTCCCAACAACTGCGACCTGACAGGCCTCGTGTCTGCTCCCAGCTCCAGATCATTGGGATGCTGTGAGTCATAGGGAGTATAGGGAATTCTCTTTCTTCTCGTCGTAACGATGTGGAAAATATTCAGATTAGATTTGCTTTCTGACATACAGTCATAGAGTGTACCCAAGGGTTCTGGTGTTTGCATTCCAAACCCAAGCCTATCCCTGGAGGTGGATATGCTTAGTTTACTTTCAACAGACACACAAGTGCGACATAAGCCTGAGCATAAAGGTATTCTCTTCACTGACAAAGAACAAGGCAGTGTGAAATGTTCAGCATCTGAGAAGGGTTCCTCATTTACGGCGTGTTGGCGATGCAATGGCGGTCCGTAAATTTTACATTTACTCTGAATGTATATACATTTAGATGGAAAGAGGGAAATTTTAGGTACAGCACGATGTAGTAGGTGACATCAAACATTGAATGACAACAGTAATTATCCACACTGATGCCATAGAACAAGTGATCATGGAAGCCATTTTCTCTCCCGTTCACCCTCATTAAAAAGTTTCTTCCTCTGTAATGTTGTAGATTTTAAATACAAGACACGGCGATACACTACGATTTTCCGTCATCCATGTATCAACATCTATGAAAATACAAATGTTGATGAAATGTCTCCATAAAATGTTTCATTACTAATCATTAATCATCAAGTGTCGTTATTACTTATTTTAATCATTAGGTGTTTGCATAAAAGGTATGACTTGCTAGCCTGAGTTTGGTGAGTTCTGTGAAAATTCAAGGACAGGTTGGTTTCTGTGATATAAGCTGCGTTTCCACCGCAGCAACTTCGGGGTAATTTTCCAGTGCGTGTCTCCACTGCAGGAACTTTTACGGGGCCCCGCGGAGTCCTTTCTCCATGTTATAGTACTCCGTTGAGCCCCGGTGGGACTTGAGATTAACCCGGCGCTGATTGGCTAAAGCTAGCGCAGGCTCTGACGCCAGCAGATCAAGCAGCAAAACATCCGGCATTAGCCCAGCAGCATTAGCCTAGCAGCATTAGCCCAGCAACCATCACTGGAAACAGCAAACAACAGCACAGTGATTCAGACAGGGTTTGAAGCATCGCGGCGAAATGAAAAGATATATTAAGACATATCAGCTTCAACTCGAAGCACTGGGGATTCATCACAAAGTTTAAAAAAACTGAATCTGGACTATAAAAAAACCCAAAGACCACAACAACCTGGTCTTACACCACTGTAAAATAAAAAAATGAGTTTGGCGTAATGAGTTTCACTTATGCGGCAATCAAAACTCATGACGTCACCGAGTACCACTCCGCGACTCTGCAGTGGAGACACGGACACTGAGAGGACCGAGCGACAGGAAGGTTCCTGTAAAAGATCAACCCCGCTCCTTTTACCAGGAACTCCTGCGGTGGAAACGAGGCTATAGTATTCTTTTCAGAGAGGGGAGTCTCCCTTCTCTCACCGGACAGGAGATGAGACCGTACTAGACCATGACCAGACCGGACCCAGACCAGGCTCCCCGGTTATACCAAATAAGGAGCCCGGATGACGTCTTCGGAGGCACTTCCTCTTCTTCTACACATCATATCATATAATAAAACTTCGTTATGAACGATAGAGTGAGGCAGTTGGAGCAAGGAAAGCCAGGGATAGAAGCTCAAAGAGTCTTGTATTAGTATTTAAATGTAAAGAAAATCAAATATTGTTGATTTTAACTCTTGAATATCTTGGTCTTCCTTTCTAGTCAAATTCTGAATCATCTCCTGACAAAAGTAACCAAATGAAATACATTTCAACTACAATCGTTCTATTTCAATAGAGTGTGGATTGAACAAGTGCATTAGTAAAGGAAAGGACCAACCCCTGAAAACACATTTAAGACTCTAAGACAAAGCAAACTTGTTAGAGCCCTCTAAAGGTTAACACTCTATACGTTTTCAATTGAATTCTACTTCACCCAGTTTGCTCTTTCCAATTAATTACCCCATCTCCACAAAGTGCATGGATTACAAACACAACTGTTTTGTTTCTGTGTGTTTAAATTGGACCGAGAATTCAGAATAAAGTTGAATTGATTTTAATATACAACTCAAGCTGCTGAAGTAAACAATCAAACCCCAGAGGAAAACCGTCTCTCTCGTTCTGATGTAGTCTGCGTTTTTCTCTACTGTTCTCTTTGTTTGTGTAAATGTGATGCACAATGGCCAGAGCTAGCAAAACGGCAAATTCTACTAACGATCACCACCACTTTCGTTTAGTGTTTGTTCAGTTAATGTGAGTTTAACAGCGCTACTGCTCTTCACACCATTAACTGAATAATTCCTTCTTAACTCTTGCTTATTTTTAGTGAGAAAAATATTCAGTGCTCAACAACTGGAGGATAACTTTAAAAAAAAATAATCAAAAAACAAAGGAAATCCATCTATGTATTTGCTTATGCACAGACTCTTACTCATCGGCCTTATTTTCCCCGGTTAAAAACCCACTTTTTATGGGATCTACTGCTTTCTTTTCTTTTTGTAAGTCAAGAGGAAACGACTTGAAACAACTTGACCCTTTATATTGACTGGCTTTGCTGATCTCTCTGGGCACCACACAAGACAAAGCATTGGCATTTGACAAGAAGGACTAATCTCTACAATGGAGACATATAAATGAATAATGCCGACGGCTGGAAAAAGGTTAAAGATAAATATTTAAAATGTTTATTGGATCTGCCTGTGATCCTTACAAAGCAACATTTACAGTACAAACGGGATCCTCACTGTATATGCTAATGGTGAATATTTTGAACAATTTGATTTGCCAAGAACCGCAACCACAAAACAAATAATGATTTTCAGTACACCACCAAAGGTTTTCTATCACAACTTGACAATGAAAGCACGTCTTAACAAGAAAAAACTGTAAACAACCGGGGGAGGAACACCTCTGAGGAACACCTGCTGATAATAACTGGTATTCTTATTCATCTAATTCATGAATCACATGCGCAGATTTCAGAATAAAATATGGATTGCTGCCATAGCGATTTACAACTCAAAACAAAAAATCCAATCTTTGGAATGGTAAAATTGTCAGAGGAAGCTGGAACTCATGAATACTTGCTGTTTCCAGTCTCAGATGTTTTCATATCCTGGTGGGCAACTTGGAATCAATTTGCATTTTTTTCGACCTAGTTTTCGACCTATATTTATTCAAGTTTTATCAGATAACAGCAACAGAGAAAAATGCTTATTTGCCTGTATTCAATAGATTCATGATGCACATTTGCACGCAACATTTATGGGCTTTTGGTACTAAAAATAAACACAGATTTTTGAAAGAGTCATGCAAACTATCAATTTCAACTCAAAGAAGCTATACCTGCTTTTTTTTTTTTAAAGGAGTTCATAAAAATGCTTATTACTACATACAAGTTGTATTATGATCCGTAATTTAATTGAAAACTTGAGCTCATTGATTCAGCTTGTGTATGAATTCAGGCCGTAAAAAGTGCTCAGTAGAGACTTACAGTAAGGTACGTTCGCACCGGATTTAACTTCGACTTCAAAAGCGTCAGGTTTGCATTGAAAGTGAATGGTGAAGCGCGTCAGGTGAAGCTGAGAGGCCCGGCGTCACTTGGCGTGCGTCAAAAGCTTCAAAATACGCGCGGATTACGCGCGTCACTTGAAGCATAACGCTCGCGTCTCTTTCAGCGTCAAAAAAACCCTGACGCGGAAGTTGAGCAAAGCTCAGCTTTTGAAGCTTGAAGCCGGGCTTCAACCAATCAGGAGACGAGGGGAAGCAGCAGCTGCAGCGGGTCTGTCATGGAGAGAAGTCATTAGCTGCTGCTGCTGTTTTGTTGTCCTTATTGTATTGTTATTATTTCTATGAATAGTAATGTTCTTAATAAGTGAGTAACAAAATCAATGTACACATGCTGTGAAGTAAACTTAATTTATTTAATTTAAGATGAAGCTGACGATGAGTCTGGCTCAGAGCTAGGGAGAGGCAAGTGAGAGGCGAGAGCGTGGCGGGCAGAGGCGGGAGAGAGGCTAGCTGCAGGCGGGGAGACCAGGCGGGAGCCAGGCTCCAGGCAGGGAGAGGCGAGCAAGAGGCAGGGAGACGGTGAAACTCAGCAAACACTGCAGCCTCTCAAGTCTGTGGTGAACCCAGAACACATTTTGTAAAAAACCCCACGACAACGTTGTTTGGCTTTGTATAACAAATAAATGCTTGCTGCTCTCTGGAAAATCCACCGTTGTCTTGTCTACCGGCAACAGAGAAGCTCCTCCCATCGGCGTCAGGCTCTTCAGGAGCTTCAAGCACCAAGGCGTTCACACCAGACCCAGCGTCAAACAACGCGCGTCAAAAGCTTTTTGAAGCTTTTGGTCTGAACGCGCCATTAGAGTGACGCCAGCTCTCCTCCAATCACAGAACAAGGCTGCGTCCTATAGCCTCTACAGCGCTGCTAAAAACAGTAGCATGTTAGCAGAATTGGCTATAACTCCTCTTGCTGTAACTGCTATTGTCAAAAAGATATGACTGACGTGTTCAGAATTTGATACAGAAATAAGGCCAAGAATGCAAGAGTTAAAAATAGAACATTTATTTCTCTTTACAATTAAATATTGATACAAAACTCTTGGAGCCATTAAATACCCTAAAACTAACCCTGTGCTGAGCCATTCTAACTGTCCCTTCCAGGCCTGAAAATGTACAGAGAACATCCAGGCGCTCTGCGATGCTCTCTGTCTATCTATCCCTGCTCAGACTACTAACAAAATGTCCTACCAACAGTTTTATCAAAATGTCCGATGACGTCATATGGTCTGAGGCAGACTGAAGTCCTGGTCCCGGTCTGGCCTAGTCCAGTTTTGTGTCTCAGGCCTTGTTCCGATAAGAGAGACACGCTGTTCCTGAAAATGATACTTTTATCACAGAAGCCTTGTCCTTGGTGCTTCTCTGAATTCCACTAAATCCAGGCTTAATATTGCACAAAGACATGTTATGCAAACACCTACTGAAAATCATTAGTATACAAAATTTTAATTCTACAACACTGCATACACAGC